CCCCAAAACCCCAAAACCCCAAAACCCCAAAACCCCACGAAGGTGTCATATTGTTGATCAGAATATAAGTTTGCCTCAACTGTTTCAAGTATACTTTGGCCTCAAAAAGTAACCGGCCATTTATTTTGAGGAGCTAGATATGTATGTCTAGCTTTTTCACTTCTTCAAGAAAATTCTTAGGCTTCGGATTTCCATCAACCAGCAGGTATCCAAGTTCAGGAAGTGTATGGAGAGCTTCAAGAATTTTCAATAAATCAAATGAATTATGCTTAATGTCCAAGAAAATCAGGCTAGGAGTTTTCTCAAACAAAGAAACTAAAGAATCAGTATGGTCTTCTTTAAGATTACATCTTTGGAGAATGAAAGAAGTCAGACATTTGAAAATGGGTGCATTTTTAGACAAAGCTTTCATATCAATACCTTTGCAACATGATAGATCAAGTATTTCAATTGTGCTTATTCTCAATTCGAGACTCAATTCAAGGTTATTTTCAGGGCTATACATACTTCTAGGGTCTTTTCCTAACTGATACATTACCCACTTTATGCAGTTGTTCAGGCTTTCAATATCCCCAATAGATTTCACTTTGAGAGTTCTGATTTCAATTACAGTCTTTCCGTCAATGTAATTAATGAAGGCTTTGTTATGTGATAAGAAAATATCGGAGTTTACATTTCTATCATTTGCAATGATGGTGATGTGGCAGTCATCATCAGCTTCGTCATTCATCCACTTCTGCTTAATTTCCTCAATTTCTGATTTTGTAGTTTCTATTCCATACTTTGCTGCCTGATTTTTGCATGCATCTACGACCAGTAGTTAAACTCAATAAATTGGGAGAAGACATTACCTTTTTCTTCGAGCATGGCAAAATGTGCAGTGTAAGCCTCCTGCATTAAGTTTTTATAATCAATTCAATTGAGATTTTTAACATCAATGTTATTCTTTTCAAGCTCTAGACCTTCTGGGTCTGAGCTATGTTCAGATATAGAGTCCTCATCTATCTCAAAATTCATTGGAATAACATCCGGAGTGCTGTATATTTGCATTTAAACTATTAATCTTATGATCAGGAATAGCAATCAATTCAGACTGAGCAAACACTATTGCTTATACTCATTTTTAACAAATTAGTGAAGGAGAATCAATTAGATAAAGAAATAAAGCTTACTCTTCCATTTCAAAACTCATATTAATAATTATTCAATAAGCTTCTACTCTCCTGGGGTTTTGGGGTTTTGGGGTTTTGGGGTTTTGGGGTTTTGGGG